TGTTGCAGCCAGAGGTTTCCCTAAGAGGAGAGAATATGAGGAAGCTGTAAAAAAATGGAAATGGACCATGTGGTTAGTGGTTCATCAACCAAATAGTACGACAGGTTACTTAGCCCGGCTAAGATAGGCAGCGTTAGCATGGAGGTAGGAAGGGGTGCAGTGGCCTTTTAATGTCTACAAGAGCATACAGTTTTGCAGCTCCAAAAACAGTGGCACTGAAACAAAGTAGTAACTACAGCTGGCAGTGGGGGGAGCCATAGCATTTTTGTTTTGTTTTTAATAACCAAGATGGCTGCCAATCATGTGACTGCCCTTGATTGGCCTATGTTAAGACGGTGGTGAAACCATTTTCTTGCCCTTAGTGGAGATAGCAATGAAGCCATGGCTCCACTCTCTTTATCCCAAAATCGGCAGCTAGCCATGTATGGTGCATGGATATAAAGGCATAGAAAGACCAGGTGCTTGCTTCAGGGATGGCTGTCCCGGCCCGGTCAAAACTCTCTGCATGTGTATGGCATGGATGATTGGAAGTCTGCACAACCGGAAACCCTCTTCTTTAAGACAGCCTCTCATGGCAGGCATTCTGTGGGAGATTTAAAACATTGCCCATGGGGCCTGATGCAGCAGAACAATCTAAAGACATCTTTGTGTGCACAGGGTCCCCAGCAATTGCTTACTTAACAGCAATAGTTTAGAAGCAGGCTGTGTCTGTGTATGACATGGCAGTTTCAGCATCTGGTGTGAGCATTTTAGTTTCCCCAAGCTGATTCTGGCATATCATCAGTGTCTGCCTTATCCTGTGTGCTCAGAGCACATCATAGGATGCCAAGTCTGAGTGGCCTTAAGCAGAGGAACAGGTGTGTGCAGTAAGGGCAGGGCAGTGAGAGAAAGTGTAGGTTTTAAGGCATATATGTTTGAGTGGTGGTTAGGGATAGGTAGAGCAGAAGAAAAATATGTTGCAGGCACCATAGGCCAATTAAGGGATGCCTAGTATGACCAGACCAAGTGTTATCAGGACAGCTCTTCCTGGCCAATGCACCAATGTTAGGAGCAATGAAATGATGATGTGCACAACAGATTTTATATGAAAGAGGTGTATTAGGACATGAAGAGAGAGAGAGAGAAATGAGTGAGGTATGATAGGAGTAAGGGAGGGGCACCCCAACAGAGAAAGGGGAGAAAGCAGGCGAGTGAGACACTAAGAGGGCAAGAAGGCAAGACAGTGACAAAGTGGTGGGTTGATCCTTTTAAGGAGCAACTTAACCATGCCTGCCAGGTGTGGCTACCTGGTGGGCTACACTTGGTGACATCATTGGTTACTAGGCAACCCAGCAGCAGGCTGCCTAAATACTAACACTCCTCCTCTGCTATCTGCCCATAGCTTGTCAAATCTCTTTAGTACTACCTGGATCCTCTTCTTCTGTGACCTGGCAAGCCTGCATCATCAGGGGGAGTGATCAGAGAGCAGTCAACTGAGTTCATGATAGAGGCAGCTCCTGATCCCCTCCCTCAGAGATCCACATGGAGACTGAGCTGCCAATTGGCCACATCTGAGCAGGGGATCTAGGTACTCTCCATGGAGGAGGCATTTTCTCAAAAAGGTTCTCTCTTCTCAGATGGCTCTAGTTTGTTTTAAGTTGACAAAAAAAAATCAAACAGGATGAATACTAACAGGATTGGAGAACCATGGATTTGGATATTTTCTTCATAATAAATATTCCATGAAATCAATAACTAGAACATCAGGGCTTTAATTACTGATCACAAGAATGGGGACTGAGTTATAGCTCATGCCCTGGGAGAAGGTATGACAACCCAAAACTATGTAAGAGGTCATTAGTATAGAACTAAACCTGACTCTGGAATCCTTATTGTTTTGTAAGCTTACTGTACAGAAGAAAACTTTAAGATAAGGAACAAACACATGCCATCACCCTTCTCAGAAAGAGTCAATCTAAATAGGCTTGTCAGTCACCTGGGCAGGACAAAATTCCTCCAGAAAAGCTATTTGTTTTGGAGATTCCTTACAAAATATTTTGAAGAACTTTTAATTTGCATTTCCCCAATGGCTAAAGATGTTGAATACCTTTAAAAAATTTATTGGCCATTCATAATTCTTCTTTTCAGAACTGTGAACTCAGTTCATTAGCCTATTTATTTACTTTTTATATTTAACTATTTTCTATTCATTATATATTGTAGAATTAGCCCCATGCGGGATGTAATCAATGTAGAAGGAAGGTCAGAGGAAGGATAGGGTGTCAATAAAAACAAAGTGTGTTAAAAATGGCATAATGAAAGCCATAATTGTGCATTATGTTCTACAAATTAATTTTAAAAAGAAAATATTATAAAGGCTGCCTAAATTTTAGATCAGCAGAGTGATTTCTTTGGTCATTGCCCACTCTTGGCATTTGAGCATGTACCATTCTGTGAAATCAGTATGAGCTGCATTGTACACTAACTGTATATCTGTATATCTCACCTGAATTGGCCATCACAAGGACCAGAGAAGCAATGAAAGTTTAGACTGAGATCCTAAGGATAGCAGAATTGTTTAAATGTATATTATCAGTTACCAAACACTTTTAGGCTTTCAGATATTTTTTGGTGGTTTATTTTGTTTTTGAGACAGGGTCTCACACTATAGCATATGCTGACCTGAATCACCAAGTAGCCAATGCAAGTATGTTAGCCTCCATGCCCAACTAAGATAACTTTTTATGATTTCTGACTTAATTCCATTCAGGTCAGAGGACAAATTTTACAAAATCTACATCCACTTAAATTTATGTTTCTATATGACTTAAAATAAGGTTCATTTTTGCTCATAATCATATTACATTTGAGAAAATATGTATTCTATATATGACAGGAAACTCCATCCATGAAATTTCATCAATACAGTTGCTTAAACAAGACTTAAACTCTGACAAAACTAGTTGACATGCCAATGTGGAAGAGGAAGTTGCATGAGGTCACATACCTAGATGAAGAGGTATAGACAATAAATGACTACAGTGGTGGGGGATATCTATCTTTACCATGTATGACCCTAACTGGTTAGTCAATCCCAAGTGATCAGCCCTAAACACAAACACATATATCAGCACTAAATGAGCTTTCCAATTGTATTTATGAATATGTGTGTGTGTGTGTGTTTGTGTGTGTGTGTGTAGCTTTAATAATTGAAGATTAAGAGGTCACAAATTTGAAAAGGTAAACTTAGGGGGTCATGGGAGGAGTTGGAAGGAAGAGCTGAAGGGAAGATGTGGCATAAAACAGTACTCATACATAAAATCCTCAAAACTCAAATAACATGTTTGTAAATATTTTATATTTATATCTCTGATTATGCTGATCACTACCATTGTTTTCCTCTTTACACTATTTTCTCCCTGATTATAACATATAATAGTCTAATGGGTACTTGAACCAAGGAGACATGTGACATTTGAATAATATTAAAACTCTGCAAGAAGTAATTATCTGTATTTGCAAGAGAATTTTAAAGGATAATTGAGACATTGTAGCAGAATAATCACATATACCTACTTCACACACAAATAGAAGATGATATAGGCACCAAAGTAGAAAATGCTGGGCATGTTTAAGGACAGAACAGTATGTTTTTAGATTGATTAATTTAGAGAATGAAAATACCCCAGTAGAAAGCTAAGTATACTTAAAGAAAGTATCAGAACAGTGCAAGTGGAATTAAACAATAACCTATATTCCTGGATTGTCCATGAGATTAATAAGTGTCTCTAATTCTCAAACACAAGAGTCTGTCTTCCTCATCTTTGTATTGACTTTTTCCCATCACCATGTAGTTTCTCATCCCAATGTAGTTTCTCATCCCTATGTAATAGTTTCCCATCCTTGTGTAGTGAGGGCAATAAACTGCAGTAGTAAGATGACTTTTAATTTCCTGAAACCACAATGAAATAACTGAGAATCAAAAGAAAAAGCAAATACATAGCACAGTTTTACGCAATGGTGTAACTGCTTCAAAGGGACCTGAAGTGTTAGATATTTATATTCATAAATATAAATATTTAGATATAATATTTAGATATAAATATTTATATTTAGATATAAATATTCAAATTTAGATTCCAAATTTGAAATCTGGAATAGTCCTTAGCCCACCTCAAAGCTCCATATCATGTGTCCTCAGAGGGGAAGAACACTTTGACCCCCCAACACACAGAAGAACACTTGATACAGGCATTCTTGATACACAAATTCGGGGGGGGGGGCATGCAATGCAAGAAACAGAGATCGTTCCTTAATTCTACCAATCTATTGCAAAGTTAAAAAGTCCAAAGAGGCCAGATAGAGCAAAATCACCCAGGTAGCTAATGGAAGTCAGTGATTGTATAACAGGCTATGACCCCTGGACCCAACTTGCTTTTTCTCACTGAAGAATGTCATTAGTATTTACATTGAAGTCACTAAGGAGAGTTGTCACTGAAATAAAACTTTATGATATTAAATATAACTGCTGGAATCATGAAAAGTAGCATGTTAATGAAATCATTACATTTAGGTAATATTCACATAGCTTGCTTTATGAAATTGGGTAATTTGCTAAATATGTTTGTGCTTTACTAATAACTTTTCAAAACGTTCTGTTACATTATCAGTGCAGAATTATGTGAGTTGTCATAGAAGGCAGAACTCCAAGTTCTAACACCAGACTTTTAACAGACCTGAACTTCCATTCTACACTTTCTGTGCTTCCGCTACTTGTTCAGCCAGGAGTCCAAGCTGGTGGGTTGCTCTTTCGCCAACCATGGGTCTTCTGCGAGGATCTCATAGTCACCAACACTACCGCTGCCCATTCCGCTTCTCAAGAGCCAGGGCTGGCTACCCATTGTTGTTTGTGCCACTACTCATGGTCTCTCCACTGTCTCAAGTGCGACAGAACTACCACCGCGACTGCGAGGCCGCTGTCAACAGCCATATCCAACTGCAGCTCCAAACCTCCTTTGTCCATGGCTTTCTGCTGTGATCGTGAGGATGTGGGCCTAAAGAACTTCACCAGCTTCTTCCTGAACAAGTCGCACGAGTGTACTGTGAATGCTGAGATGTTCCTCACACTGCAAAACCGGCCTGGTGGTAGCATCTCTCGCCACACCATCAGTAAGCCAGACTGCAACGATTGGATTGGCAACCTTCCAACCATGGACTATGCCTTCCAATTGGAGCTGACTCTTAACCAAAGCCTTGCGGCCATGCACAAGTTAGCCATCAGCAATAGTGATGCCCATTTATCTGGCTTCCTGCAGAACCATTTCCTGCAAAAGCAAGTTGAAGTCCTGAAGGAGATAAGCAGCTACTTGACCAGTATGCACCAGATGGGGTCTCCAAATGATGCCATGGCTGAGGATCTATTTGACAAACTTCCCTGGCTGATGTTAACAAAGATAACTGAGCTGGAACTTTCTTCATGACCCTGAAGTCTTCTCCAGGTTACTAGCCTGGACATCCATATTGCCCTTCCAGCAAGTTCATTTGTTTCCCCCTTCCCTTTGACCATTGTTTCCAATAAAGTCATTTTGTTTTCAGTCAAATAAAAGTATTGAGTTTACTTATGTTTACTTACTATTACTTTAAAAGAGCAAGAGTAATATTCCTTTGCAGATCTAAAATGTGGATCGAGGATTCTCTTCACATACCCCTGGCCTGTCTTCTTTCAGCTTAAAATCTCTAAAGGGTGGAGGGAAAAGGTGATCCAAGGGCCCTCAGAGAGGACCTTCTTTTATAAAGCATGTGAGTCTAGGTGGTAAGTTATAATGGGCTGTAATGGGGTGTGTGGCCAGAAGCCATGGTATCTGTGCATAGTAACAGTGTAAGTACACGGTGCATCTGGATTCAATGTAGAAGAATTGAGATGGGGCATGGATTAAAATAAAGCAGTGGATCCCCGGGAGAGTGGAGGTGTGCATGTGGGAGAACTGAGAGGAGTGGAGGGAGGGAAGGCTGTGGTCGGGATGAACTGCATGAGAGAAGAATAAATAAAGAGAAAAAAAATGTATTAAGACTCCAGGTATTAGTCAGTGATAGAGTGTTAGCCTGGTCTGCAAGTTCCTCAGTTTTATTTCTATCACTACCCAGGAATCAGAGAAGCTAATGAAGAAAACATGACCCAATGCTAAAGATTTCAAATCTCACCTGGAATAAATTGGAATTAAAAGGCTAAAAAAAACCTGGAGATAAATGCCCACAGGCTATGGAAGCAGCAGCAACCGCTAAAAAATTAATATCCCTGCGCTGGTTACTTTTCTGTCAACTTGACACAAGCTAGGTCCACCTGGAAACACAGAACCACCTCAGTTGAGAAAATGCTTTCATCAGCTTGGCCTGTAGGCAAGTATGTGGCCATTTTCTTGTTTAATGTTAGAGGTAACCCAGCCAACTCTGGATAGTGCCACTCATGAGAAGATGGGGATGGAGGCTTGTATCAGAAAGCAGTCTGAGCAAGGCGTGGGGAGCAAGCCATTAAACAGTGTTCCCCCATGGCCTCTACTTCAGTTCCTGTCCTGACTCCCTTAGTGACAGACTAGGACCGGAAGTTGTAAGAAGAAATATCCCTTTCCTTCCCCAACTTGCTTTTGGTTGTGGTGTTAGAAAGTAAAGGATCCCTTTCAAAAAGAAAACACATGTGGGTTTTCCCTATATTTTTTTTTCCTTTTTCGTTTTACTTAGAGTTCCAGCCTACTTGATGGTGCTGCCTATAATTCCTGGCAGAGAGACAGAAGTTGCTGGCATTCACACTTACCCATTTTAGAAACTATACATACACAAAGAGAAGTGTGCTTCATCAACTTTTTAAACATCTCTCCACACATTCAAGTTATCTATCAAGATTAATGATAGAAGCCAGGCGATGGTGGTGCATGCCTTTAATCCCAGCACTTAGGAGACAGAGGCATGTGGATCTCTGTAAGTTCGAGGCCAGCCTGTCAGTCTACAAAATGAGTCCCAGGACAACCAGAACTACATAGTGAGGCCTTGTCTTGAAAAACAAACAAAAAAGATAATATCTAGACCAGGTAGGAGAGTAGCATATCTTGAATTGCAGTGTGGCTGAAGAAATGACATCATGCATGTTGTAGATGAGTTTGGACACATCAGTAAGATTTTTTCAGGGGCACGTAGTAAGGAATAAAGATGACAGAATAATTTTGGTTCTAAGATTTGGCTTTGAGCAAGTGACTATCAACTCGGGGAGCTGTTTTTAAAAAATAAGTTTATTCATTTATTCATTTTATATCCAGATCACAGCCCTCTCCCTCCTCTCCTCCCACTTCCAACCTCTTTCCCCTTTCCCCACTCTCTTTATACTCAGAAAAAAGGATCCCCTCCCTTACAAGCCCACCATGGATGATCAGGACTTAGTACATCCTCTTTTATTGAGGCCAGGTGCCCAGGACCAGCAAGGCTTCAATGGGGTTCCTAAGGGAGGAGAGTGGAAGGAATTGGGGGGGAGGACAAGAAGTGCAAGGAAGGGAGCCAAGTCTGTTTGTCTGATCAAGGCTTCCGTTTGTTAGAAATTTTTACCCAGCTTATATAGGGAGAAGGCAGGAAAGGGGGAAGGTAATTAGCTGCTGCAGGAGACAGGAAGAGTGCTTTCATGTGTTAAATAGGGTGCCTGCAAGATACCATAGGGATGTTTTCTCACGGATGCTCTAACAAACGGATGTCCTCACAGTCTCTCACCCATGAGTTAGGGTCCTAGATAACTTCACTAAATAGCTTTAGGTCTCCACTAAATGACCTTTGCTCACTATTTGGCTTTGGCCTAGAAAACACCTTTTGTCTCCACTAGATAGCTTTGACTTACTAATTGACTTAGGCTTCAGTAGAGAGCTTTGTCTTGATGAGATAGCTTTGGCTTTGGCTTCTGTAGATAGCTTTGGCTCCCGGCAGCCAGGCAAGGCAGCCCAGTTAGGTGAAAGTAATAAAAACAACAACAAAAATAACAGGCAACCAAGTCCATGTCACATATGACTCATGGTCCCTTTGTTGCTAGGGAACCCATATGAGACTAAGCTGCCTTTGGGCTAATTGCAATTGGAACACCTGGATGAAGGACTGAGTGAGCTATTATGTTTTTAGTATATATGGAAGTAGAAATTTATTAAGGAAGGCTAGGAAAAAAAAAAAAAAAAAAAAAAAAAAAAAAAAAAAAAAAAAAAAAAAACGAACAAGCCCTTCCTCTTCCAGGGGTCAAGTCAGATTTTCAAATAGGTATATGATGTAGTGAAGACTAGGCAAACTCCACCAGAAAAAAGGTGTAAAGAGAGGGTATGGGAATTTCAGGTCCAGGTCTAGGGCAGCTGACATTTAAAGGAGGGCTCATGGATTAGAGCACTCAAAGGCTGCTGTTTCTACTTGTTCATTTCCTTTTAATGTTACACCACGTCTGCTCCAAAGTTACCTCGAGAATAGTTTGTTGCTGCCAGGCTCAGGATGACATCTAATTTCCTCTTTCCATATAGGGGAAGCATTTTTCAGTGGCTCTATCTTAATGCTAGTAGGTACAAGAAATTTTCTCCCAGTAAACATACGTTTCCACAAAGAAAGGGTTCACCACTAACTCTTTCTTCCCCTGTTTCCCTCTAAGTATTTGCCATCTCTGCTTCCATCCCTTAATGACTGCCTGGAATACCTCTCATGTAAACCCTAAGTTTAGTCTTGCCCGAGAACAAATTCTCCGAGATATTTTCTTTCTTCTGTGCTACAAGTGAGTTACAAACATGAAAATAAAATCTCTAAGGCACATGTATTACCTTCATCTTCTTAAATGTGGAGGATTACTTTGAACTTTTGCTAAAATTCCAGCATATTTAGCTGTGTTGTAACTATCTTTTTCATTTTCCTGTAATACTTTTTGACATTTTATTAAAATTAAGATTATGACTCTTTTTTTTGGTGCCCAGGAAATGGACATGTTTTGTCACCCCACTCTCAGGCTTTTTTTTTTTTAATGTACTTTGCTTCCCTGTTGAAATATGTGTCCATTCACTGATCTGTTTCACTTAAAGTGCGCACTATATCATTAGCTGACATGTCTACATGCATGGGGGAAATCCCTTAGGGGAAATTGCCTCATGATAGGCAATTGGCAACTACCAATAAAAGAAGAATCATTTTCCCTCAGGATGAGCCCCTTAACTGATTATTCAATATAGGAGGCCAGTCCCCTCAAAATACATACAACCAAACACTAAACTGTCTTAGCAGGTTGAATTTGTGTGTGTGTGTGTATGTGTGTGTGTGTAAAACAGTGAAAAAGAAAAAGAAGCTATGAATTTCAGAGAGCATGAATGGTGTGGGAGGAGTTGGGAGGAGATGATGTAAATACAGTATACATATATAAATTTTTAAAAATTAAAAAAGAAAAAGAAAAGAAACCATAAAGAAAGCATCTGTTTTCTTAGTGTTTCAGATTTTAACTTTGCAGAAGAATCTTCTCCTTTCCTGTTTCTGTGATAAACTGTGGTGCTGTGACATCTCACCCTAGACTATCTGGGTTCAAATTGCAGCTTAGCTGCTTACTTATGTGATCAAGGTCAGTCTTTATTTTCTCTCTCTCTGTTTCTCCATGTGTTATGTGTGGATAATACTTCAGTCTTATTGAGCTGTTGAGAATAAATGAGTTAAGGGATGTTTAATAGTTAACTTTAATGATCATTTTGATTGCATTTGGAACTATATAGAAGATTAGTAAAGTATACTTTTAGATGCTTCCATCACAGAATTTCCAGGAAAGACAATGAAAGGTGGAGGGAATGAAGATAGCACCATCCCACAGGATGAAGGTGTAGACAAAATAAAAGGAGAAAAAGAAGAAAAGTAGCTCAGCCTTTCTGTTTTCACAGTCTTCTGGCTCCCACAATGTGAACTGTTCTCTAATACTACACACCCTCTACCAAGACGGACAGAACCCTCTGGAACTTTGAGGCAGAACAACTTTGTCCTGTTTAAAAATTCATTTTTGCAGATATTTAGCAACAGTGAAACAAAAGCCTAGCTGATACTGTATGTAAACAATTCATAAGAATGCCCTTTCACAGCGGTTCTTTCTGTGTTGTTCCTCTTTTATAGTCATCACTATCATTGACTTGGAAGTTGTGACACTTAGGCTTTGAGGATTAGAGGTCACATCCCACATTTGGCCACTGGGGGGCTCTCTTGCATTTGTTTATAAGAGTATGCTGCCCTGAGTCCTTCCCAAGGAAAAGCCTTAATGCTGTTGGCCTGTCAGGTGCCGGAGTTGGGGAATGTACTTTACTGTTCTCACCATCCCAAACTGGAGATTGCAGGCAAATCTCACTGTGGCAATTTTCCATAGTGATCTAGCTGATTGTTTGTATTTTTTCACTTGGATTTTTTTATACATAATCTCCGACTCAAGCTGACTGAGGCCCCTTCTTTTACCATGAGT